CATATTTACTAGTTACTTTTGTAATTAAGTCGCTCTCTCCGAGTTTGACACACAGGCTAAACGTGAAAATAGTCAACATAGATGGGGAAGCTCAAATTAGAAAAGCTACTCAGATTTACGTCACTGAAAAGAAGCATTCATGGACTCAGTCATTTTGACTTGTAACAGGGAAGGCCGTTGTTGATTTAGCGTCCGGGAGAGAGCAGAGCGGTTAAATCGTTAAATTTGATGAATCATACAAATTTAATGCCAAAGTCGTTTCAAATGAATTCCTGAGCCAACACTGTTTTTGTTATTTTCTTCTCTAAGGTCACACACTCCCAACAAACATGGAGCACTGTGATTGGTGAGACAAAACCTTTTGGGCCAATGGTAGACCTGCTGAGCATGGCTAGATTCATCTGCAGGGCAAAATCTGTTTGCTACTGCTACGATCGGTTTAGATTTCTACGCCATTATATTGGTTTTGGTCATCACTTGTAATACAGCACAGCTATAAATGCATCAAATCTAAGGTCAGTGTCTGCAAAATAACTGAGTTAGCAGTATTTTTGTGTGTTCTTAGCCTAACACAGCCCAAACCTTAAACATTACCCTAAACCTAGCTATCAGGCTAGCTTCAATCAGCATAACAAAGAAAGGTAGTCATGGTGCGTTCGATTTGTCCTCGGAACTCGGAAATCCCTACTTCCGAGTAGGAAAGTTCAAACGAAACGCCCTCCAAAGTCGGACCTCCGAATCGGAAACTTGGAAGAATTTCAGAACTCCAACCTCGACATCCAAAAAGGCAGCTCTCCGTATCGACAACTGTAACTTTTGGGTGAAATGTGTTTATTTTACAAAACACACTTTTAAGAGCGCATTTAATACGATGTTACATGTAGTGCTTGCAACTCTAAGCTGGTCATACTAAAAGTTTTGTTTGCATGTTGAACGTACAGCTTAAAAATATGTTATTAAGAGTAATCTACAAACAATGGCTACTTGGGTGGTGTGCGTCGTCTTATTGGAATCCTGACTTCTCCGACTACGGTAACCAGAACGCAGTTAACTCTGCTGTGACGGCATTCCCATTTCCGAGGTAAATCGAACGCACCATCAGTTCTACATTAAGTCAAGACTTTCAGATCTTTTCATCTAATTATTCATGAGATAGGCAAATGCACCCAGACCTCATTTCCCACAGCTGAAGACACGACTTTATGTTTTTGGTGATACTTTATACTTCAGGGCTCCTATGGGCGTTGAAAGTGTAGCTGAAATAGTTTCATCACAGTGGGGCAGATACTGATACCTGTTTCTTGTACATCTTTGACCTGCTGATGCTGATAGTTGAGTTTTAGATCAGCCAGGAAAGCTGAGTATCAGGTAGTTCTGATCACCAACAAATGTGTATTTGTACATTAGGTTTAGATCCACGGCGTCAACGAAATTTGTATTTAAATTTATAGTTTAGCATAATCTGAAAAAAAAAACATGTTCTTATTCAAAGTATTTGTTGCGTTCCACGTGCTCTTATTTAATCTTGCCTTTCAAATGAGGCACCGTCCTCCCCTTTTGATGGCTAAACTTGTCTGCTGTTGTTTTTTTTAAGTTTATGCAAAAAAAAAAAAGAAGATGGCAGAACCAGGGCACAACTTATCACCGGTGTATGATGCATACCCCCAAAATGCCCCTCTATTCAGGGTTCTCACTTGAAAGTGTTTCAAGCACTTTTTTAAAGAACTAGGAAGGGAAATAATCATTTTGATCATTTAATTTTGTCGATGCCTATTCTGTGATCAATTTGGCCGATCCAGACTCCTGAGTAAGCACATCAAGATTATTTCTAGATCAGCAGCTTGGCTGATTATTACACACTCTGTGGGTTCATGATGCAAAGAAATCTCTGCTGAAAGGATCAACAAAATCTGAACTCCTGTTGACTGCTCTGTTCAGGTCGAGCTTGTCCAACCTGCAGCAGAATCTCAGTTCAGCTAAAGATTATTGGAAAGACGTCGGCAAAGCCACGTGCCTCACTGGTTGCTCGGTTTGACACAAAGATGGTATCAGACACGCATTTGCAGTCAGGCTTCAGGAAGTCCGCGGTTCTTCCCTCCCTCTGTCTTCAGAGACCTTCTCTGGCTTATTTAGTCAGCGGATCAAACAAATAACCAGAACCAAAAATCCAAGATCTGCTTTTAATTTTTGTTTTGTTAACTGGCACAAAAAAGGACATTTCTCTGTAGGATATTTATCACATTTAAATTATTGTTCCTGTTTGTTTTTGCTGTTGAATTCATAACAAGAAGAAGCCTAAAACTTCTGTTTTTTGTCTCTGCATCACAAAGAGATGCAGCGTGACGCTCGACTATGTAGAAATCTGAGATGATGCGGTGAAACACGAACTCCCTGGCGAGACCTCTCTAAGTTGTCATGGTGACCGGGAGGGATGGACAAAGGGGAGAGATGAGTGTCGTCTTTCAGCGAGAGGCTTTGGATTCAATAACAGAGCGAGAGGACCAGATTCTGTTTACAGTATTCATGATTTAAATGTAAACTTCTTACAGATGAAAATGTTTTTAAATCATTTTTAATGTCATTTTTAGATGTTTTGTCTCAGCAGTAATTGTCTGAAGGGATTTGTAACTTTTAGCCTGGAACATTGAAAGACAGAGAAATCTGTGTTGGTTATAAGAAACGTTCCTGTCTGCTGGGATCGGTTTCATCTCTGAAAGTCTCACTGAAGAACACAGACTCTTCCACTCTACACATCAATGCCTTTGCAGAATCCTTTTTGTTGTACTTTCTAAGGGAGCAGATTAGTGGTGCTTTTACGTCTGCTGATTCCTTATCTCGACACCCAACCTGTTCCAGAACAGGTTGGGTTTCCAGCACGAACCGCCGCTGTGACATAACCCGGGAAAGGAGAGAACCAGTTTTGTGATACTGAAAACCCTCAAACTGACCCTTGAAATGAACTAAATCAGATGCTATAATCCTGATTCAGAGTACTGACGTAGGGTCCGGGTCAGTAAAGGGCCTGTGGGGGATTTGAACCCACGTGATGCTCAGAAGACAGCCTGGTTGTCGTGTGACTCAGCTGCTTTTTCAGAAAGCAGAAATGGACTAAAGCCAAGTTTATATGCAGAATTCATTCTAAACACCTTGTTTTGACATGTTTTTGTTGGTTTTAATTGACTAAATTCTGACCTGGTTTATAGCAAAACATGCTAAAAAGTAATATATGTGATGGCAAGAATCTGGCAATACAATATAAATTCAATATGTTAAGATAATAAAAGCCAGATGAAATTTGCAATTTTTAAGACTGAATTGCATCTGAAACCTCAGGCCTGAAGCTTCCAGGACATATCCTGAGTTATGCAGATTTGTTAGGTCAGAATGAAAGTGGTAAAACCTGCTGCCTCCTAGCAGTCAGGGTTTGAATTACACCACAAAAAAACAAATTGCATGTAAATTGTCAATAAAAACCTGATACACTGCTTTTAAAGGGGCATTATAGAAGTTTGACAGCCAAAACATGTATAGAAATAATGAATTTCTTCTTAAAACATTCTCCTGCAATGCCCTGGTCCTGTAAAATGAGCCCTGGCATTTTTACTGTGATTGCCTGTTTTTCTGTAAAATCATAGAAAAAGAGAGCTGCTTGGGTCGAGCAGGCTGCTTCATGCACGTTCACGCTCAGGCATAGCCCTCCGAACGGTTCTTACATGTTACAGATACTAGTAACATCACTGGCACGTTAGCTCGCCTGGTAAGTCGTTGGTCTTATGTGCTGAAGACCGGGGTTCGATTCCAGATGTGGATATAGTTTATTTAGTTTCTTTTTTTACGTTAATGTTATGTTTTTTTACAGTAAGATGGACAAATTTTTATTTGAGACTCGCCGAACGGCATTGAATTCAGATAAAAAAGATGTGGTTTCAACTTTCATTTTGGAACAATTTTTCAAGCAAGGGAAGGGAATGATCTGAGCATGCAGGAGGACTGACCCGTCTTAAACCTTTGTCGGCTGTGCTGAAGAGAGAGGTACAGAACCAAATTATTTAATTAATTAGCTGCGTGCCCTCTGTCCTCTGGGACACACACACACACACACACACACACACACACACACACACACACACACACACACACACACACACACACACACACACACACACACACACACACACACACACACACACACACACAGACACACACACACGGAGCTGACTGTCTCAGCTGCTATTTTAGTTAAGGAGTGTGCACGTACAGCATACGCGCTTCGTGCACGAGTCTACTATTGAAGCTGCCGTTACGCTTTTGGCCTGAGGGGGCAATCACGAGCGTAAAAATTCAAAACTCCGTAAAGTCCCTTTAAAGATTGAACGAGGACCAATTGCAGCTCCACCTCTCCTGAGTCTGTGTGTGACGTCTTGTCTGTTGTCCATTACCTGACCCATCTGAACTCAGCCAATTGTTTACTCTGTTGTTCACGTGTGTGTGTGCGCGTGCGTGCGCGCGAGTGTGTGGGTGAGTGTACGTTCACCTTGGAAATTGGTTGCGGGAGGGGAAGTGTAATTGTCAATTGTTTTATACATGGGGAGGGTGCTGGGATGGGAAATATGGGATCTTTGGGGCCATTTTAATCTGTGAAGCACTTTGAGTTGCATTTTTTTTGTATGAAAAGTGCTTTATAAATAAAGTTGATTTGATTTGTCTTCTTCTGCGCATGCGTTTCGCTTTGGGGCAGCGAATCGTTCACACTGGGGAGTGTTTGCTATCGCAGTTCAGTTATAATGTGAACAACCACACAAAAAAACTAAATTGGAATTGAACATTAAGTCCTGCAGTGTGAACGTAGCCTAAATATCTTCTTTTTTTTCCTGAATGTTAAAAGCTTCCTAAACACTTGATTTAATCTTGCTGAAGTATTTGGGTTTCTGTTGTTTCTTTGTAATCACCACCTTTTTAAAGCTTCTCATAAAGTTGTTTTTGCTTCGTCTCGTTTGCAGCCAGATCGTCTTCGTCCTCAGCGGGAGTTTGTAAAGTCTCTGTTCGGCATCGGGAAGCGGTTAGCCACGCTGCCAACCAAAGAACAGAAGACTCAGCGGCTGATCTCAGAGCTGTCGCTGCTCAATGGCAAGCTGCCGGCTCGGGTTTGGTTACCGACCGCTGATCATCAGCACCACGTCTGCAGGGTCCCCCACACCCAAGCTGTGGTCCTGAACTCCAAAGACAAGGTGAGAACCTCGCGCTGTCAGCAACTCTGATCACATGAAGAACAGCTCACAGTTAAAGACACAACGGCTAACATCACATTTCCTCTCCTCCTCCAGGCTCCCTACATCATCTACGTAGAGGTTTTAGAGTGTGAAAGCTTCGAGACGTCTCCGGTTCCCGTTCGGATCTCTGAGACCAGGATTCGTACGGCCCGTTCCGCTGAGAACCTGGACTGTGGAACGGCGGCTAATGCTAACAGTAGCATCATGACGTCAGAACACCGAGCGGGAAGCTTCTCCACCGTCCCAAACTATGATAACGACGACGAGGCGTGGGCCACTGATGATATCGGACAGCTCCAAGTAGAGGTACTCTTACAAGAAACTTTATTCTTTGAAAGTCCCAATAAGTCTTCGGAGTTTTTCGTGTCCTTGTCAGGAATATTAACCAGTTTGTGTGTTTCAGGGAGAGGCCCAGACCAGCAGCAGTGATAACATCAGTCAGTTTTCAGTAGACAGCATCACAAGTCTGGAGAGCAAGGAGCCAGTGTTCATCGCTGCCGGAGACATCAGGTAGACACACCCCGCTGGAGGACGTTGGTGTCCCTGAAGCGTGTATTTGTTACCGTCGTCCAGCTTTGATCTCTGTTGGTGTCGTTTCAGACGCCGTCTCTCAGAGAACCTGGCTCAAACACCCACTACATTCAAGAGGGACCCTGAAGACCCATCAGCTGTCGCCCTCAAGGAGCCCTGGCAGGAGAAAGTCAGGTAGGTCTTTTTTTTTAGAAGAAAGGATGACCCTTCATCAACTTGATACTGTTGCTGTTAAACTTTGTATTTGTGTTCAGGCGGATCAGAGAAGCCTCTCCGTACGGTCACCTCCCTAACTGGAGGTTGCTGTCGGTCATCGTGAAATGTGGAGATGACCTGAGGCAGGAGCTGCTGGCCTATCAGGTTCTCAAACAGCTACAGGTACAAACAGCCCCGAACCACCCTGGCACACGTACGCACAGATTTTATCATTTAATTTACTCCGTTTGTGTCCTCAGTCCATCTGGCAGCAGGAGAGAGTTCCTCTGTGGATCAAACCTTATAAGATCCTGGTGATGTCCTCAGACAGCGGGATGATCGAGCCCGTCCTCAACGCTGTCTCTCTGCACCAGGTGGGCAAAGGATCCTGGGAAAGGACCCTGCTGAAGCATTCATGTGAAACAGTTTGTGATCTGACGCCGGGGACACACCGGCCGCGGAAGCGCCGCGAAGCGCCGAGAAGCGAATCGCTCACGAAATTCGGCCGCTGCTCGCCGCTCCTCAGTTCAGATCAGACGCGCCCCAGTCGAGGCGCGCCTCGGCTCAGCTGTAGTTTTTCTTTTAAACACTTGGTGTCCTCCATTTCCTCTCTGCCTTTTCTCAGCTCTTTTCCTCTACGTTTGAGTGTTTGTACGTGTGTGTGTGTGTGTGTGTGTGTGTGTGTGTGTGTGTGTGTGTGTGTGTGTGTGTGTGTGTGTGTGTGTGTGTGTGTGTGTGTGTGTGTGTGTGTGTGTGTGTGTGTGTGTGTGTGTGTGTGTGTGTGTGTGTGTGTGTGTGTGTGTGTGTGTGTGTGTGTTAACCTATGGTATGAGTTGTTTCTGCCAGTTGAATCTCTTGGAACTCGCTCCAATTCTGCAGCTGTATCCTAGCAGTTTCTTCCGAAATGGGTACGTAAATAATCGTGTTTTTCGGGGGTCGTACAGCTCCTTGTGTTTCTCAACTTCCATAATTAATTTAAAGTCATCCATCTTAACTGCTTGCCTCAGACTTTCTGCCTCTCTGTCCTGTTTGCTCCGGTGAAAAGACACCCAAAACCACTCCCCCCTTCACGTGGTCACACACGCACACAAGTTCGATGTGTGTGTTTGTGTGTGCGTGTTCGTGTGGTTTTTCTGCAGTGTCTGATGACGAACACATTTGACTAGTGGGGAATTTTATTTTGAAATGCTTTATTTTGTTAACTTTACCGGCCTGCCTCTTGTGTCTAGGTTTGACTTCCTGCCAGAATTGACGCGATTCACCCGCGGCTCGCGAAAAAAATAGAGCCGACGCCGAAATGATCGCTGCACGGCGCGAGGCGATTTGCGGCGCTTCGGCGGCCCATGTGGTCTATAGAATAGCTTAACAAGGGCGCCGAATGAAGGCGGCCCCATTTTCGCGGCGCTTCCGCGGCCAGTGTGTCCCCGGCGTTATGTTGACATAAAACGGTGCTCAGATCAATTATTTACTTATTTATCTTTTGTCTGCCAGGTGAGAAAGCAGAGTCAGTTGTCGCTACTCGACTACTTCCTGCAGGAACACGGCAGCTTCACCACCGAGGCTTTCCTCACCGCTCAGAGGAACTTTGTCCAGAGCTGCGCTGGATACAGCCTCATCTGTTACCTGCTGCAGGTCAAGGACAGGTGAGGAAAACACAACGTCTCTGCACCATGTCGGGTTTGGGGTCTCGGAACCTTCTCACACATCCTCCTGTGATCGCTGCAGACACAACGGGAACATCCTGCTGGACTCCGAAGGCCACATCATCCACATCGACTTCGGCTTCATTCTCTCCAGCTCTCCTCGCAACCTTGGCTTCGAGACGTCAGCCTTCAAACTCACGTCAGAGTTTGTAGACGTACGTTTTGGGTATTTATTTTTTTGGGGGGAAAGGATTAAATTCCTGTTAAAATTAGACAGAGAAGCTCAGATCCTCGTTTAAACAAACACCTTTTCATCTGGTGTTTCCAGGTGATGGGCGGCCTCGATGGAGACATGTTTATCTACTACAAGATGCTGATGCTTCAGGGTCTGATTGCGGCCAGGAAGCACATGGAGAAAGTCCTGCAGATAGTGGAGATCATGCAACAAGGTAACACGTGTAACACACTCCACAGCTGTAATGGCTTTCTACGATTGGATCTAGGGATGTGTATTTTTGAAATTCTGGCGATACGATACATATCACGATACAGGGGAGATTATACGATATATCACGATATATTGCGATACATTCAGTCACAGACGTTACAAGCAATTTTTTTTTTACTGAATTTATTGTAAGAATGTTCAATAAACAGTCCAAACTGATACGTAACATGTTTAACATGAGGTATCTGAACCATGATGGAGGGATTTACATTCCAGTGGTGGAAACAAAACCCGCTGCACACTACTGCCAACTAGCGGGTGGCGATTGAATTGCGCAAAATGAAAAGAAAATACACAAATATTTGCATGTCAATTCTTTCAGGACTTAGATACACGGCTTTTGAATATCGATGTAATAATCGCAGGAAAAAATATCACGATATATTGCCATATTGATATTTCCGATACACGGCTTTTGAATATCGATATAATATTGCTGGGAAAAATATCACGACATATTGCCATATCGATATTTTCTTACATCCCTAATTGGATCACAAAAGTAAAATCCCGCTCTCCACCTTTATGTCCTCCGTGTGTTCCTAGGTTCCCACCTGCCCTGTTTCCATGGCTCCAGCACCATCCGAGGCCTGAAGGAGCGCTTCCACATGTCTCTGACAGAGGAGCAGCTCCAGCTGCTGGTGGAGCAGCTGGTGGACGGATCCATGCGCTCCATCACCACCAAACTCTACGACTCCTTCCAGTACGTCACTAACGGCATCATGTGACCCGTCACACCAGGCGGGGCACATTTAAGCTCTGTGCACAAAGTGGCGGCTTGATTTCTTTTTAGTTTTTCTCCTTCTGATGGAAGTCAGGAGCTAAACACGACACCGACTGGATTCACTGGATTGGAATACTGTGATTCTTTTGGAATCTTAACGGATTGATCCGATCAGCTTTTTGCTGGGATCTTAGAAAGGAAAGAATCTGGAACTTTTCTGCATCAAAATTAAATAAACAGTATAAAAAAGGCCAGAGGCATAAAAGACGTTTATCATCCGAGCTGCTGCCTGTGATGGATTTATTTTAGACCCCGTTGGACTTCTGCTGGACTTAACTCTGAACGGTTTGTGCAGCTGCTGCTGAAGACGGAGAAACGGAAGATCGTCAGATTTTAACTTCATTAAACCCTCGAAACCTGCACGGCGCAAAAGGCGAAAGCGACTTTCGAATCGGCCACAACTCCACAACGAACTCGACGAGCTGCAGCGACAAATATGAAACGGAAAACTAAATGGCCAGCTGTGAGATTTCAGGGGATTTGGCAGATGATGAAAACCACAGAAAAGATCCACTTTCTTATTACTTTAAGAAGAAAACTTGGAATTATGAAATCAAAATGTTTAATTTGCCTCCAGAATTTGGAACATGACAACAGCTAGTTCTCAGCTGACCCGAGCCCGACGGGGCGGCGAACACCAGCAGGACGTCTCGACTGACTGAAGAAATCTGTCGGTATTTGTGATTGTTCTTACAGAACAGAAACACTAAAGGGTAAAAGCACATCCAGAGCAAAGTGGAGTTTTTTTTCCTGGACTTTATTTCTCAGCAGAGAAAGTTTATTGAGAGAAAAAAAGTAAACTGTTCTCACCCCCTTTTAGTTTTGGGGAGTTCTGAAAATGTTTGTGTCAGTTGTTTCACCAGACAGTTACTGCAAAAGCTAAATCTGAGTAATTCTACATCTACAGCCAACTTCCACCAAACTAAGAAAGAACAAGCAGAATCGCGCTCTGTGTAGCATGTTTTCAATCTGCATTCTGTATTATGGCCAGCAGAGGGTGACTGTAGTCTGTTTCAAAGTCATTAAAAGGGAAAAGGATGCTTTTTAAAAATCCGTTACCTCAGCAACCACTTTCCTTTTATGACTAAATGCTCTAAATTCACAGTTTTAAACTCGGCATAATATTCATTAAGCATCTTCGTGAGTAGAAGATTCTTCCTTCACCTGTAAATAGCTAACGGTTGAGCTTAGTTCATTTGACGACACGTTGCTACATCCTTTATCAACGGTATTTTTCTTCATTTGTTATTAATTATTTCACACACTAACAAAACATTTAACCAACGAATGAGCTGTTGCTAAACATATTTACCGTCCTGAGTGCCCTCTGCTACGTGAATGTTCAAATATTCAGTATTATGAAACATTTCTGGTTAGCATAGCATCCTGTCTGGTGGGAAAACTGACTTTTAACATCTGTTTTTCATCACTTTAGGTCCAAGTTGAATTTCAGACTTAAACTGTGCAATTTATAGTTTTGTTTTGTTTTTTAACTCAGAATATCTGTCAAAAACATTCGGTTCACATGGTAAAGGGGCTAACGTTAGCGCAAACCTTTGGCCGGATTGGACGATTCCTCGCTCAGCGTCTGTGTTGTTTGCTCTAAATGGATCTCTTGTGTTACAGTCCAACGAGCGTTTTGCATATTTGACATACGATTAGCGTTCTTCCTCCTGGTTGGTTGAAACCAAAATTCCTCTGACTGAAGGGAACCAATCAGGAGATGCGGTTCTGCACGTTGGGTTTAAAAAGACAAATAAATAAATAAATGGACTCAATAAATGTATTTGTAAAATCAAAGATGACAGTTTTCCTGAACATGTGAAAGTGTTTTTTTTTATATGAATGTCCTCTAAAATATCGTAATATTGTTGTCACACAGATTTGTTCTGACAAGCAGAAGTTTCTACTTTAATCTCTTTGCACTGGCTTTACTCCAGAGTATTAGCTTACTGTTTACACCCGGAAATACAAGATTAACACAAGGTGGAGTATTTCTTCTGTATTTTAAATATCTATCTTTACTAAAAGTAATTTGAGAATTTAGTATTAGGGCTGCACAATATATCGCAAATATATCGTTATCGCGATATCAGCATGCACAATATGCATATCGCAAAGAACAGATAAATATCGCAATGAATGGTCAAGTCAAATGTTTGCTACACATAATGCATTCTTTCAATCAAACGGAAGTATGTTTTTTTTAACAAACTAAATGGAGCTCCACCCATTTGTCCAATTGGGTGGGTTCTCCTGGGTTAGATGCCCACCCCCGAGGCGGACGGCACCTAATTTTGATGGTTAGCAAACACCTGCGTTAGCTTTGTTCTGCACTTTCTGCTGATTCTGCTTTTTCTGGGATCCACCGATTGCCTTTTCTTGTTCATTTCCTTTTTCTCTTTCCTCACATCTTTAGCATTTCTCATTCTCATGATTTTTTTTTTGCCATTTTTTGATTTATTTGTTTTTGATAATTTTAGTTCCTGAGTTAAGTTTTTATTGCAAATAATATCGTCATCGCAATATTTATCACTGTTATTGCATATTGCAGGTTTTCCTAATATCATGCGGCCCTAGTATGTGTGCTAGCCGATATACAATAATATCTAATGTAAACAAATTAGCTTAACCGCTAACTCCTCTAATGCCTGTTGCAGGTTTTTGTGCTTTGAATCAAACAACTCCTGTCCTTTTCTCACATTTGAGTTGAAAATTTAAGATAAATTGAATTATTGTTGCTAAAACCGCTGCTTCCAGTGTAAAATATTAATTATAAGCCCTATTTGGCTAATTGTGGCTAATGCTAACTTGATAGCAAGCTGAATAATTAGGCCTACTGAAAGCTGGTTCCAAATTATTGTATATTTTTCAAAATGTTCAAATATTTTAATACATTTATCTGATTTCCCCAGCTTTATTCATATCATGACGGTGATTTAAATAAATTATAGCTAATTTAATAAATGTAGCGTGCTGATAGAATTTGGCTAATATCCATTTTGTGCGTTATTCACAATCGACGTGTAATAAGACGCTAATTTAAAATTTGAATAAGAAAATTCCCTCTGGAATAAAGCCAGTGCTCTAGGAGGTCAAGTTTGTATGATTTATTTCTGTTTTGTCACGTTTCTTTTTGGCCACTATTAAAGAAAAAGCACATGTTTGTTGTTGTGACGGCAGCATCTTGTTACCTTCTGCTAACCGTAAGCCTGCTACGTTTTACCTAGCTGTGACTAAAGTTTACCAGAGAAGCAACTGAAATAGCAAACACTTTTTTGTTTTTTGCAATTTTCCTTATTTTATTAGAAATTGTAAATATGTATTTGTGTTTGTTTTTCCTGTACGAAGAATTGATGCCTTGAGACGTACAGAAGGTACAAAACTTATCAATGCAACCAGAGGGACGATTGTGTTTGTCCCTCCCAAGTGCTTTTATATTTGATATTTGAACGCTTCAGGGGTGAGTTTCAACAGTCTGATGTTTGTTTAGCTTCATGTGAAGTCACATTTTATATTATAACCACTTTATAAGTTATTAAATGTGTTTTAATGTCAGAACTAGCTAAATTGGCAAAAGGAACCCTTCAAATTGCCTGCAAAACGAAGCTAAAATAAGCACTGTTGGAACTCTGCTACTGAAAACCTTTCATTGCCTTCTTTGTTTCTTCCATCAGCTCTGAACACTTCTACACTATCAATGTGAAAAACTTTAAACAAGTGCTTTTATTCTAAATGAAAATGTTATTTGAGTAGATCCCTTGTTTTTACCGTCATCTGTTCGTACAAACGTAAATGCAGACACGTTTTTGGTTCATCAACGCACTAATCCAACGCTAACTCAAACTAAAAATGAATAACTTATATATCTTAAACATAGAAAAATGTCAGTTTTTTTTATTTAATTTTTTTTAATAAATGACACAAACTGGCCAGCCAGGACAAAAATGACCAATTTTTATTTTATTTTTTACAAAAATTCCACCTGGATTTTTTTCTGATTTTTAGATCTTAAAAAGAAATCAGCAAAATTTTTATGAACCTGGAATATCATGTTTCCCAAAATTTAGAACAAATAACTATTGATCTTATCAAAATAATTTAGAAAACTTAACAGTTTTCATGAAACATAGTCATTTGATTTTCCAAAAATGTTTTATATTTTATTTATTCTTTTTGATTAATGACATTTTTTAATTTTACATTTAAACCACATTTTTTTTCTTCAGCTCCGACTCAATGTTTTTAAGGAGAAACAAATACATCCTGTTTTAGTTCTAGTTATACGTCTGCTGATGTTCTTGATCTTCAGTCTTACCATGTCCTGACTAACTGCATGGAAACTCATCCAATAAACCTAAAACCTGGTTCTGACCTGGACTTTGGTCTTTTTATGCTCAGATGTGCTAAAGAACACTGGTGTTGTAGGATCTTTTTGACTTAAACACAGAAATTTCAGATTTTGAGTTAAACATTGACTGTTGAATCAATCTTGCTGTCGTTTCAGCAATTTCCCCCCCCCTGATTAGAAATTTTAAGGGTCACAACAGCTTCCAAAGTTTGAGTTTCAGACCGCTGTGACAAGTCTGTTGATTTTGCTGTGTTTGCTGATGAGAGGATACTCTGAGGTTGGTGGGATGTGAGATACGGGCTGCTCTTTCCAGCAAGGCTCAGTGTCACCCACGATGGAGAGGGTGAAATATTCAACAACCTGGAAGCTGCCGTGGATTACGTGAAGATCTTTATCAGATTGGATAATTGAGCACTTGAGCTGCTGCCGCCACAGTATCTGGGATGCACAGGTCAGGTTGCATTATGACACACTTAGGATGTTTGTGTACTAAACCAGTGGTTCCTAACCTGGGGGTCCCGACCCCCACAAGGGGGCGCCAAAGCCTCTCAGTGGGTCGCCAGGACCTCTCCACTTTAAGGGGTTAAAACTTCATTTATTACTTGTTTAAAGCCTACATTTTGCTCACATTTTTTTCATGAGTGAAAAGTTTACTGATATTAAGACAGGAAATAATTAGTACAGAAAAAGTAACACACTTTTAAGAACATTTTGCTCAGCTCACTGTTTTATTTTCAAGTGTCAAAAGTTCATTAAAGATAGGACTGGTTGATTAATCACAGCCTTTACAGTAAATAGTCTAGTATAAACAGTAATATGCACATTTAAGTACGTTTTGCTCAGTGTATTTTTTATGTGTCAAACGTTTATTGAAAGGAATGATTGATTTATGTGTTTACAAGAAACAATGTGTTCAGAAAAGTAATACAAACTGTCAAGCACATTATGCTCTGCTTGGTTTTGTTAATGACTTTGTTCTGTACTGGAGCCTACTATTACTGTTATCTATTGAATCACAGCATATTAAAATGTGCTTGAACAATTTTATCATTTATTAATAATGTTTGTACTGGAAGAGAGAATGGGAGGGGGTCGTCAAAAATTTTTACTGGTAAAAAACGGGGTCCCTTGGGAAAAAGGTTGGGAACCACTGTACTAAACAACTCTTGTAAACATTTATTTAGACAGTGAACAAGCAGTTAAATAAACTGCATTTTTGTTCAGTTGCTGATTACTTAATTTATAAACTTTTAATTTCATTACTTTGAAATCTGACAGTGTTTGGAAGAATTTAGAGGAAGTTTTTCCACTAAGGAAGTCTTTAAACTTTATAAATCCAGTTCATACTTCTCCTTCGACGACTCCTTCTTAATAACATTCCCAAAAAGATTCAAAGATAGATTAGGATTATGTAAAGCTTCATTAAAATAAGGAGGCTATAGTATTCTCTTCTAAATGGCTAAAATAAACTAAAGCGCAGTATACGATCTTGGACACTAGAGGGCAGCAACCCCCATCTCCCCTTCATTTCTATGGGCTGTTGTATGCCAGAGTGTTGTTCTGTTTTTGGCCTGCAGAGGGCGGAAAATTCCATCTTTCAGTTATTTTTAAAACAGAAAAGGTTTATTTACCTGCAGCGTTTCGTTTGCGGCTGCAAACATCATCAGGCTGACGCCGATGGTGTCACGGTGGATGGTGGATAAACGAAGGAAGTGACGCCAACATCGGCAACGAAACGTTGCAGGTAAATAAACCTTTTCTGTGTTTTAAAAAGAACTGAAAGATGGAATTTGAAACTCAACACGGCAAGAACACACCAAAGATGTTTAAAGAGGGCGTAAAAATCCCAATTCTTTCAAAGCAACAACAGTGGAAGAATTCAGAGGAAGTGTTTCTATTAAGGAGGTCTTTAAACTTTATAAATCAGGTTCATTCTTCTCCGTCGACGACTCCTTAATATTAACATACCCAAGAAGATTTAAAGAAACATTAAGACATTTTTAAAGCTTAATTAAGATAATGAGACTCTGGACACACCCCGATTAAATGTGGTCACCTTTTGCTGTTTGCTGGCCAAAAGATTTATACTCTCACCCACCAGCATGCGGTTACTGGGTTGCATTGGCTACACCCCCTATCCACCTGGAAAAGATCACACATAGTTTGAATGGCTCGGTCAAGAATTTTAACATCATTAGGTTATCAGTTATGTTTTATTTTGACAGTGTGTCTGTGGATAATATTTAGATAGTTTCTTTTGTTTTGATTTAGTGTCACTGTGAGACCTGTTTTATGTTTGTTTCTCTGAACTGATCCACTGTGTTTGGGTTAAGTGGGGTGGGTCAGGAAGTTTAATAAAAAGACTTTGATCAACAAATTCTGGTGATTTAGTCGGGATAATCCCAGCAGCACCAGTGTGAGACCCCGTCCATCCTTTATTTATAAAGCACATTTAAAACACAGCAAGGCAGCTGACCAAGGTGCTCTGCAGTCAAATCAAGAAGATCATAAAAGCTACAGTAATCAAATGTGGCCAATAAAAAATTAACAGAAAATAAAACGCTCAATAAAAACAGTTCAAGGGGTAAAAGTATGTAAAAAGAACAAAGTTAAGATTAAGAGAGAGTGCAAAAGCCTAAAAGATGGGGAAACATAGCGTCAAGGTCCAAGTAAGGCTAAAATAGTGCCCCGTTAGTGGGGTCTTGGACGTGATATGTATCGACTCCGAAATACCGCTTTAAGATCTGTGCAGAAAAGCGTGAAGGAGTGCTGTCCTTTCTCAGTAAAAGAAATCGAAGACAGCAGTGAAACAGGAGAGGTTGGACTGCGATGTATTAGGAACAAAGCTCGTATAATAATCAGAAAAAACAAACATTAAAATAATCCAAATCAAACACAGCAGATGTTTCAAAACGGATTTATGTGAAATGGTTACTTTCGAACAGGACTAGTGACTTTAATCACATTTTGACTTCATTGTAATAAAACGTATTCTTTCTTTTAAATTCATCAAATTTTAACATATTTAAAATGTTACATTTTGAACAAAAAAAAATCTCTGAAATCCTTCAGAAAAACAAGAAACAGAAATTTTTGTGCTAAAATCTACATACCGGTACATACCCACTCACTCGAACGAAGTGGAAAAAGGTGATAGCCCACTCTGTGGTGTCCCCTGGCTTTGCTGCAGAAATGTTACAATATAATGAAATCATCTTTATCTCCAGCGTCCTTAAAATCTTCCGGTGTGCAGATCAATATATGGGGATGTTCTTTAAAAGAGTAAGGCTGTAGCACACCAGTGGCTGTTTCTTACCAGAAAAAAGTATTTATGTTGCTAATATTACATTTTAATGGGGATAAATACCATCTGTGTTTACGTTATACTCCAAATCCGACTCCAAAAACAAATCAAGACGAGCCTCGGAAAACATCTATAAAGGCTGAAAGCCCTTGACAGAAAACTGTTATTTACTGGTGATTTTGTTTGATTCGACACACTTTAAAGAGCAAGTCACCCCCTACTAGAGTCTTCCTCCACTCTCACTTCCTGTTTGAAAAATGCAACACATGCTGTTGCCTGGCAGACCGAGAGGGTAGAGCCGCTAACAAATACACACATACAGTCTCACGACGACATTGTGACATCATATGGTACCAGCCAAAAGCGATGGCAGATTTAAATTCAAATGTAGTGCAGAGTTTTTACCTGAAGAGGGTGCAACACTGTAGCCTGGCCTGCCAGACTCCTCCTCTGTTTAATTCTGCACTGAGAAAGGGTCTGGGAACTCTCCTATTCAAATAACCCCACCCCCTGAGAATTGTAACCGAGCCAATCAGCGCTGAGTAACGTACGTCACACACCACAACGCCGAGTTTGTCGAACATGGCGACTGAAGCGGAGTTCGCTGCGGCTCTTTCCTCTGTTCTAAATGACTTGAATGTCTTTAAACCCACAACAAGTAGAAGCGCTAAAAGCCTTTCTTCTAAAAAAAGATGTCTGTGCCGTTCCCAGACGCCTTTTTTTACTACTGCTAAAAAACAACAGCGTCGCGCGGTACAGTCGGCATTCCCGTCTTTTTTCTGATTGGTTATTTTTGAGCTGGCTAGTACCGCCACTCAAGTGCTTCTCTGCATCACTGCCTGTGAGTTACCAGACGTACTCTGCGCAACGCTGATTGGCTCTGTTAGAATTATCAGGGGGTGGGGTTATTTGAATAGGGAAGTTACCAGACTTCCTCTGTGCAGAATTAAATAGAGGAGGAGTCTGGCAGGCCAGGCTAGCAACACTGACAGTTTTAGGCAGAATATTTAAATTTTAACAAAGATGCACTAAAGCACCAAATTATTGACTAAACGTGTCTACAGCACAGTTAGTCACTCATTTATATAGTTTATCAGCAACAAAACAGTTGATTTGGGGGTGACTTGCTCTTTAAGCTCAAAACTGCAGCAAGATGAACCAGTAGTCATATTCAGTGTAGGCACCATACTCTCTGCAACTGTGATTGGTCAAATGACGAGTTTGTGACCCCCCCTCCCCCCCCCCCAAAAAACACCCAACCCTTCAGATCTATACGACTTGTGTCATCACCATATATGGCTTCAAAAAAGCGACATGTTTGCACATGTACATCTTTAGTCTGTAACTTTGAGGCACGAAAAATATCGACTTGGCTTGAATGAACTTCTGGTTTAGAGTGAAAAGTGCATTAAAAAGTGACAAGTTTCAACACAGCGGGTCGTGGAACGGAACTTTTCAGTGAGATTTGAACATTTTCTCCATAGATTTTCTCTCAAAGACGCCATAACTGGCGTTTTCTGACGCAGAAATCACTTCACTGATCAGTGAAAAAAAGGAGCAGAGACGCCAGCTCGTATTAAATCCACGCTATTCTAATGGCTAATTAGCTATTTAATAAAATCTGAGCTGATTAACATCTGATGAAGGATTTGGCTTTAAGCTGAATTCAGAACTAAAGGAAAATGTATCTGAATTCGTCGAATGATCTCTCACTGCTTTTCTTTCATCTTTTGGCCATTCTGAAGTGCATTTCTGTCTTAAAGTTCAAAACAATTAAAACTTTAGCAGTTGCAACTTCCTAAAAGGCCTTTGTTTGGAAAAATAGCTTTTATGGTTTACTGGACTGACAAGCTAACTGCTAATGTGAGCTTAGGCACATTACTGCCTTCCAGTTTTTAACATCGTCACCAACTTTGCATTTCAGTCATGAATGCAAAAATCTTGTGCAGCAGCTGAATGTAGCACTCATGCTAATCCAGAGGTCAAGTCCAACAGGAAGTTCTTCATTTCTGTCTGTAACATATGTAATGGATCAGAACCATTTCAAAAGGACAGCAATTCACTTTGATCTTGATTTTGCTCAGACTAGCAGTTAGCTCCTCAGTCCCAAACGGTGTAAAAGCCGTTTCTCCAAACAGAGGTTGTTCTGGAAGCTTTTTACAGACAGGTACGACAGTAATGGTTGATAACTAGAAGCTCTTCTTAATTTAATAATTGATCAGATCCGTTTTCATTAAAAAAAAAACTTTTTTCTTCTTTGTGTTTTTTTGATTTCTACATCAGCAACAGCATGTTTAGTGCGTGAATTTGTTTACTTTTAACCCTCTGATGCATGAATTATGAAATCTTCACCCATGATTTTTTTAACAATTTTTTTCATTCATCTTCAGGTGTGAATGAAACAACTTTCAACAAATATTTTTTGTAACATTTTGTTAATTTACAAATAATTTATTACACGTCCACCTCAGTGGACAGTGTGCATTCTGAACATGAAATATGGTGGCTTGACTTACTGAAGTCCAAACGGAGGGGCTCACATGCAATAAAGTCTTCAACAGCTGTGCTTAATAGCAAAAATAAAGAAATAACAATTTTGAGTACCTGTCCACTGTAGTGACCATTATGCATCAAAGGGTTAAAATGTTCTATACCAGGCTGGAGGATTTGGCTGCTGGCCACACTTAGTTATCTGTGTTAATAACAATAAAAAAGGATTTCAAAGCAGCAGTTAAGAGTTTTAATAAATAAAGACCTTGGTTATTCTGATGAACCCTTCATTTCATCAGTGGCACCCGTTTGGTCCGACAGAATCGCTCCTCCGATTTCTCCAACTTTACAACCCGGAACCTGAAAGGAAACCGTGACCCCGCTGGACAGAAGCACTGGAGTTTAGGCGCCGCGCTGACGAAGCGTGTGAGCTTCTTGCAGCAGACTCGGGGAGTTCCGGAGGTGTTCCAGACGATGGTGAGGATGGGCCTATAGGACCACACAGTCAGAATCCTTTTCTTTCCTTCTGGCTTGGTGTGACCCCTGACCTCTGGTCTGAAGGCAGAAGCAGAAACACAGTCCGAGGGGTCACGGGAGAATGCCCGACCTACGTTTTTAACCCTTTCTGCATATTTTAGTTGGCAGGAATGTGTCTTCTGACCTGTTGTGACGCCTGTGCTGATTCCAGCTGCTGCTGCTGCTGCTGGTACTCCTCCCGCTGGAGCTGCTGGGCCAACTCCAAGTCACTAAGAGGTCCTGGAGCTCTGCCCTGCTGCTGCTGCAGGGAGACGGCCACCAGGTAGTCCTGGGATCGACAAGATCTGGTCAGCAGTGCGTCAGAGACAGGTCACATCACCTCTCAGTCAGCAGAAGGCCTCACCTGGTCGATCTGCCTCTGCTGCTCCTGGGAGCTGGGTGGCAGGTGGGAGGTGGGTGGGGCTCTGCTGGGAGGGTGGCACAATCTAAAGTCAGAGTCACAGAAGTTCCCATCTCCTTCCACATTATGAAGAGACTCCCAGACCACGCTCTCCTCCTGCAGGAAGCCCTGGTCGGTCACGAGCAGGTACAGGTGACCCTGGAGATGGACACAAACATCATCAGCAATGTGCACACACCCTTGTGTTTGATCAGGGTTGCATGATGTGTGTCATCGCCACCTTGTGTTTGATCATGGTACTGAAGTGGTTGTTCCTGAAAAACACTGAGATCTCTCCCTCTTTGGCCGTGGTGTTGAGTTCACATAGACCGTGGTACGAAAGCTGAGTCGCTGTTGACTCCAGGAACTGCTCCGCCACTAAACCTGCAGGACACAAAATCGCACGTTTCATCATTGAAAAGTGTGTGTGTGTGTGTTACTAGTATACCTTCAGTGACTCGGCTGCTGTCTGCAGAGTGTTTGCAGTCAATGATTCTCTCCACCAGCTGGTTGTAACTCAATTTCCCAACAGCAGCAACCATCTCTGGACTCTAAACCCACACAGAAAGGCAGTTATGTCATTTTATGTCACTTTATTATCAGTGTTTGTGGTTTTGGGGATGACTTTGCACGTTTTGCATGTAAACCAGCAGCATCCAGGTCTAGCGAGTTACCTGCGGGTCGACCAGCCAGCCGTGGTACAGCGGGATGTCCAGCAGGTCGAACACAATGCATTCTGGAGTGTATTCAAAATCTGTGACTCCGGTGAAACGCACGTTAACATCCAGACCCGTGGACAGCTTCGGGAGCACGGCCATGGCATCGCTCATGTTCTGCAGAGACACACAGATCCATTTTAAATCATCATCATCAAGCAAATACACCAGTGATGAGGAGAAGTGGAATAAAGAATCTGTACCTGCTGAAAGTTGAGCTCCATGCCATTGGTCTTCTCTCGGGGAGTGATGGATAAAACACACTCGCCTACAACGCAAAAAAAAACAAAACGTATCAAGTAATTAATATGGGGGTGAAAATTTATAAGAACTGATATTTTTACTTATTTCAAACGTTCTACTATCAAAACAGTTCATAAATAATAATTAATGTTATTGTGAGTGATCTTACCCAGGTGAGCCATCAGGTCCTCAGTGGTGACCACTTCAGTCTGAGCAGGAAGCTTTGCCTACATACACAATTATTACAAATCAGGACTTCAAAGGTAAAAAGTTAATTGTACCAGAAGTTTGGACTTTGTAGCTTCTAACTGCTTTTACTGTGAAAATCAGCCTTTCATCCTTTTATTTTGAAAGTCCCTCAGCAGCATCTTCTCACCTCAGACTCAAACATGGTGGTTTAACTTCTCTAAAGTTTTTATTTTGCTTGAATTTTCTTTTCACAAGTGAAAATTAAAGAAAATCTCTGAAAACGTTTTGTTTGTTTGTTTGTTTGTTTACCTTCCAGCGGAGGAAGAGCGTGTTCATGATGGCCAGCAGGGGACAGGGTCCGTTCTCACTCTGAGTAACGATGGGGGTCTTCTTCTCCTTCCAGGTGATCCACTTCACCAGGTAATAAGCTGGCATGGAAGGTCCAGCTTCTACAGGAGCTGCAGTAGCACTGGGATGAGGAGCAGCAGCTGTGGCAACAGCGCCACCTGTGGTCAGGAGGAGCAACGACAGTCACAAAACTAAACTTAATCCTGATTCATGAGTGAATTGAGTTGTTAGACTGTTGAACTAAATTTTAAGGCGCTTGATGGAGGAAGAATAAACCTCACCTGCAGCTTCCACCTCCACCACCTCCTTCAGACTGGGAACTTCCATCGACGAGGAGCAGCCTTCGACGCCTGGAGCCGAATAGGACGATGATAGTCCGTCCTCTATGTCCAGAGAGTTCCCTGTGGTTATGATCCCATCTGAAAACTCCAGGCTGGGAATGGAGAGCGACGCCGAGTCAGTGGATTCTCGCTGATCGTCTGAACCACCTGTAGTCAGCACTGAGGAACTCTCCTCCAGGTCCTGGTCCAAACCTGCATCCAGAAACAGATCAGATCATTACAACAATACTAAAGCAGACTTCTTTCACTTTTTTTAGCACCTGTGTTAGAATTCTTGCACTAATTTTTCAAACAGCTGTGATCTGAACCTGCTTCAGTAAAAATAGTTTTGTTTGTTTTATTTTTGTTTGTTGTTTAGCAGATTCTCTTGTTCTTGCCTGCAGCTGCTCGTATCCCATAAAGACAAAGGCTCATTCACAGCCTCTTCTGCTCCGCTCCCCCTCAGCTTCCTGAATGTTAACAAACTGGAACTGTTTTACAAAAACCTAACAGGCGACGCTCAAATGACCCAAAACCAGTTTGTCAGTCTCCTGATCCCTCTGTGGTTCGCTCCTCTAGATGCAGAAATGTGAAGAAAACACAGCCACATGGTTTAGTCCATGTTAGTAACTGAACAACACGTTGTGTAGCTTATGCATTTGGCAGATGCTTTTTCTTAAGAAAGGGGAAAGGCATTTAAAAGTAGGCACCTATATTTGTAATATTCAATTAAAAATAAGCTGCAGAACATCTGGATTGGAGTAGATTATTGTTTATGTCAATCCTGAGGGTTTAAAAAGGTAAACAGACTTCTTCTCTCATCATCTGGAGACCATTCTTCTTTCATTGTAAAGACTTCTTTAGTTCTGACGGGGATTGGGAATTTGATCTATTAATCAGCGATGAAAACCTCACAAACAGGAGAAACTAAAAGGAAGACGTTCTAGTCAAACAGCTGATCTGGGACCCGTTCTGACCCATTACCTGACTCTCCACCGGTCTTGATGTGTTTGAGTTGAACTGAAAGCGTTTCGTCTTCTGTAGTGACGAGGGTCACGGTCATGTTTTCAGAAAGACTTGGTGATGACTCAGGTGGTGTGGGCGTGGCCTCGTCCTCCTCGTGGACAGGACGAGGACTGTCTGCTGCTCCATTGCTGCTCTCGACTTTGCTGCTGTGATCGAACCCCTCTGTCGCCATGGTGACAACCGTTTCTTTGGAGACACTTCCTGTGAGACCTGGCTCCTCTTTGCTCTGTTCAATCTGCAGGTTTGTCGCAGCCGCCGGCTGTGAGCTGGACTCCGCCATGATCAGCAAATTTAACAAATACTGACAAATCAAGATGCACCAGCTTCACGGGGATAGGAGCTCTTTTTTTTTGGTCCAATAGCTTGGTTTAATGTGCAGGTGATTTTCTGGAGGTAGTAGACAACATCTGAACTTTTAACAAGGCCATAAAAATCACTCAGAAGAGTTATTTATCCGTGAAAGTCTTCATAACCACCTCTCTATCTGAACAGGATCAGAGTTTCAGGCCTTCTAACCCAAAGGTAGGAAACAGAAATATTGTCAGGAGATTTTCTTTTTTCTTCCTTCTGCAGATGTCCTGTTGGCCCGGAGGAGAAAAAAAAACAGTAATTAAATATAAAAACTTGTGGTCACTTTTGTCTCCAAACAGTCATTTTGTGGCTCGTTGTGGTCAATCTAAAACACACGAAACCCTAACCATTCGGGTTTAATATGTCTGCTTTCTTGAGGGCACACGTCTGATGTCTACACACAAAGTAGCTTGGTTGCTTAGCTGTTGTCTATTGTTGCCACACCTTTACTTTTAACTGACAACAGACTAAAACTGTAAATCTAAACAGGGAAGTAACTGTATGGAGTTGTCAGACCGAGTTCATCTTCCTGCATGAAAAAGATGCATTGGATTACTGTAAACAGCACAGGGGGCAGTCATTCGTCAGCCAAACAAGTGCTTAAGTTTCCCGTAATGCTCCTCAGTCTGATAACACCCAGTCAGCTCAACTTCGCTCTGATTAAACAAGTTTTACAGGTAAGCTTTCCTCTATGGCCACCTCTACACACCTTTGACATCATTAGCTAAACAGATGTCCTTCCAAAACAAGCCTCACCTAAGCAGAAACCTGCCTCAGCCATGCAACATCCTGCTGACGCCTCAACACTAAGCAGATTTCAGCTGTGACACAACTCCATTCGCTAGCAAACCTGAAGCTAACTTCAACGGCTAAGTCACCCAAGTTAGCTTCGTTCCGCAAAAACGATAAACTAATTCAGGAGTAACTGCTCAAGATATGCCACCGACCTCTGAATCAAATATAAAACGACCATCAGTTTTTAAAAGCCTCACCTTACCGATCCCGGATGGAGGTCTGTGATCTGTGCTGATGTGATGCTAGCTGTTTACATTTTTCCCTACAGGCCACGCCTACCACCGGGTACGCGCTATTTATGCTCCGGCGAACGCGGCGGCGCACCGACTATGTGGAGTTTAATCACAGCTAACTTCAACCTAAGAAAGGTTTTTGATGCCAAGATCAAAATGTTGCATAAATCATTCATGTGTAAAGTCACTTTATCCGCAGAACATCCAGGCTACATGTTAACCAGCAAGTAATCTCTGATAATTTACAATTTCCTATTTAGAAATTGTTGGGGACAATAAATGAATGAATGAATGAATAAATAAATAAATAAATAAATAAATAAATAAATAAATAAATACCCCCATCTTTTTTGTTTAAATTTATAATTACTTTGTTTTTTACAATTTATTTTGTCATTTCTTTTAGCCAAGTGATTCGCTCGATGACAGGTGAGAAATTATAACACACTTTTTATTTCTACATCACATCCGGTTATCCGAACAGTTGTGGCAGGAATTCCAGCTTATTTTGTGGGATCCAAATTCTTTGGGCCACTTTAGAATCACGAGGCTCCCAAACAAATTTTTTCCGGTTGCCACATTGTGTTCTCGCCAGATATATTTACTCAATACTGAGTAGTAAAAAAACAAACAAAAAATAAATAAATAAAAAAAATTCAACAAGTCATTTTCATTTATATATTTTATTATTTCTCACATTTCTGTTCATTTAGGTAATTTAAACTGTTTTACATCGGTATTTATTGTGAATTTTTATTTGTTCAGCTAAAATCAGATTTTTGGGGGGATCATTTTTGTTTATTTATTTGTGAGAGTTGTTTACTTTCCTCTTTTTCCTTTCCATCTGATGCCAGTTACATCTGTCTTGTTTCCCTAATCTCTATTCACTTGCTCCTATTTTTGACTTTTCACCCTGTTCTTTTGAGATCAGTTTGTTGCGCATTTACTAGACTTCTGAACCCATTCAGTGTTTTTCTGCTGCCTCTTGGGTCTTTCCGTTGTGCTCTGCCTTGTAAAGCAAAGCTCTCAAATGGAGACAAATAAAAGCATAAACTGTACATGTAAAATCGCAACTTGACTGCAACAAATGTAATAAAAATAATCCTTTATTTTATATATTGACACTCGTTTATGCTTATGTCGACTGTGGCGCTTTGTTCTACTCATAACTGTTCACACTTTTCCTCTGGAGCCGATTTCTTACGACAGAAATCTGTGAAAAGAAAAAAAAAGAACAATGAGCAACATTTAAAATTAAAGATCTTTATCTATCTTTTAGTTTAGCATTGTTTTTAGAAATGTACAGCAGAATAGTCTCCTAATGGTAATTACATTTTATTATTGCATCTTTTTCCGAAAAACACTCAGAAAATGCTTCACTCAAAAGAAAATACAAAAATAAAAAATTAAAACATTAAAAGAATGTAATATGAGACGGGACAACAAAACAAAGAAAACCACAAAAATATAAAAACGAGGCACCCGAACCTTATCTGGTAAAACTGTTCAAATAAAATGTTTTTAATTCATGTTTAAATGTAAATAGTTTTATTAGATCCAGAACAATGAGGGAAGATAACTCTTCAGTTGAGGTGTTACCAGCTGAAAAAAAGATCTGGAGGTTTAAATCAGGTGTAGAGAAACTAAATCCTTTCTAATTAGATGAACAGTAAAATTAAAAATCAGGACTTAAAAAGTATTTCTTAAATTAACCAGAAAACACCAAGAAAAGCTATCCATTGTTTGCTCCCTTTCAGAATTTTGCACAATCTAAACATATGTGATATTTCTCATATTGAGACAAGTAAAAAAAATCCCAGCCATTATTAGAAAAGTTAGTTTTAGGTTTAGAACTACTCCTCAAGTGGAACGAGAACTTAGAACATGAGAACGTCTCCATCCAGTCACCCACCTGCTAGTCCGTTGTAGATGAATTGTTTGTCGTGACGGAATCCCAGACACTCAGCCATTTTTTTAAGGTTGTCATGGTCCACCTTATGCTTCTCAACATCCCTGTGTAAGCCCTCCCTTTCTGATAGAAACACAAACCGTATTACACACAGTTACTAAACCTTTTCTACATTCTGTGATTTTACAGAATTTTCATTTTATTAACAATAAATTTTGAGCTTTACTGTAGCTGATCAGGTATTGATGTGTGGAGGTTTTGTAGGGCATCAGCAAACAGTTGGAGCAACTCTCGTAGTAGTCTATGTCACCAATTCCAGTGTAGTTCTGAACGATTCCCTCTTTTTCCACTTCTAACACACAGAACACACGGATAAAAATCACAACACACACCAGTAACAAGAATGGTGCAGAACTAGTCTAACACACTACACCAACATAACAAATACAGCAAGGAACGCAAATATTTGAACATGCTGCGATTTCGCAAATTCTCCCGCTTAGAAATCAGGGAGGGGCATAGGCGTCATTTTAACCGGGGACGCCAGGGACATGTCCCCGGCAAAATTCGTGATTGGCAGCTGCGTCCCCCCCACTTTCAAAAAAGCCTGCTGATGAGGATTTTTGTTTTACCAGCTCAGATCTTATACCAGGGGTCGGCAACCTGTTCCCATCAAAGAGCCATTATTACCCATTTCCCACAGTAAAGAAAACACTGGGAGCCGCAGCGTTGTGGGCGGGGCCTACCCTCAGACAGCAGAGACCTGCTCCCAACAGGTGACAGAACAGCAGCCGGTACCGGTCGCTCGCATGGGCGTCGCACCCGTGGGGGATACAGCACCCACACTTTTCCAGCTGTTTTGCTCACCTCCACACCAGTCTGTTTTTTTTACGTCGCACTGCACTCTGTTTGCCTCATCTCCTTCTTCACCTCCCGCTTCTGACAACCGATGTCGGGTTCCAGGAGAGCAGGAGATGGAGGGACGGAAGAGCTCGACTGAATTCATAATTTTACATCTTGACATTAGCTGTACAAAGTCTGAGTTTGATAAAGTGAAGAACAACAATTTGCAGAGGTTTATAACAGGCGCAGCGCCAGGTTTTCATTTTTGGGTGGGCTACGGTAATTATGGACGGACCTTAATAAGCAGTGACTTAAGTGAAGCAGGCAGGTCGCGCTAGAAAATTTCGTTTAAAAAGACGTCATAAATGTTTCCCCCTGTCATTTTAATTTCTAAAATATGAAGTAAAAACTCACAATTTAATTTTCATTCATTTGTCATTAATATGTAGTCTACACCCGTGCATTAAGTGGACCATCTTCCAGCATCCAGCCCACCTCTCCAAATGCGTAAAATGTGCATCAGCCGCTAGTTAGGCGCGCCACGCGCACCGTCAGGTCAGCCCAGACAAGAGCAGAGCAAATAGGGAAAGAATAGAGGATAATTGTGTCTGGATGTGGATGGAGATTACATTTTACAGCAGCCTGATCATCATTTAAATACGTAAACCATCACCTGTCTTCTAGTCCACGCTATCAGCATTAATTTAATTGGTGTGTGTGTGTGTGTGTGTGTGTTTTCCACATCAAACACTGGTCTAACCAACCAGACCAGTAACATATTAATGTTACAATTAAACAGTTTCACTTCATGTAGGCTAGGAACGTTTCACCTGCCGTGGCCGGACTGCTTCTGCTCCACATAAACTTAGTGCGTGATCAAATGTCTCTACAGGTGCTTGCTGAGCTCAAGAGGCTATTCTGCCTCAGACTGGATGCGTCATACATCTCCATATTAGAGACGAGAACAAGCGCTATTCAGCCAAAGTTTCATAATTTCATAAAAAGAACATTTTTCCAAGCGACACATCCCTCAGAGAGACCGGGTTTCCAGACCGCTTCAGTGGGAGGAAATCTTACCGCATGTGCCGTGGTTCTGCACTGACGCATGACGCGTCAACCTGGTCTCACATTAAGACCGGGTTGGAACTGTTCAGGTTTACGCAGACAATCTTTACATTTAGAATTGGCATACAGATGTAAAATTAATGCAGTAAAATATAAAGCTTTTTATTTAAATAGCCATTCATTATTTTACAAGCACAGAGAGCCACATCAGATGGATGGAAGAGCCGCATGCGGCTACAGAGCCGCGGATTGCCGACCCCTGTGCTAGCCTACTCTATTGTCCCCAGCAATTTTTAAACCCCACTCAAGTCTATGGTTATTGTCCCCAGCAATTCTGAAAACAAACTGACGCCCTTGGGGAGGGGTCTGACATTGACATTGTAGGTGCATTCCCACTGTAAGAGACAGTATTTAAACATTTCAGGAAAGCCTATTTAATGATTTTTTTTAAAAGAAATTATTTGTATTTCTTACTGCACTATTTGAACACCTGGAAAAAATAAATCAGTGTTAATGTTTGGTACAGAAGCCTTTGTTTGCAATCAGTTCCTGACCACACTGCAACAAGGATTTTGACCCACTCCTCCACAGTGACGTCCTTTAGATCAGTCTGGTTTCAGGACTGTCGCTGAGCAACAAGAAGTTTCAGCTCCCTCTTAATGTTTTCTATTAGGTCTGGAGACTGGCTTGGCCACTCCAGAATCTTGACATGCTCTTATGGTGCCACTTGTTGGTTATTCTGGTTATGTGCTTTGGGTCATTGTCATGTTGGAAGACCCAGCTATGAACCATCTTCAGTGCTCTGACTGCGGGATAGAAGGTTGTTGCTCAAAATATCACAAAAATGGCCCAATTGATTTGCTCCCTACATTGCAGTCATCCTGTCCCCATTCACAGAAAAGCACCCCCAAAACATGATGTTTCCACCTCCATGCTTACCAGTAGGGATGGTGCTCTAGAGATTCAAATAATCCTTCATTTTCCTCCAAACATGGTGAGCGGAGTTTAGACCAAAAAGTTCTATTTTGGTCTCTCATATGACCATGTGACTTTTTCCCATGCCTCCTCTAGATAATCCAGATGGTCTTTGGGGAACTTCAGATGGACCTGGGCATGTGTGGACCTGGGCATGTGATGTCACAAGCAGGGGGACCTTCTGTGCAATGCATGATTTTAGACCATGACGGCATAGCGTTCTACCAACAGTGACCTTTGAAACTGGTCCCATCTCTCTTCAAGTCATTTACCAGCTCCTCCTGTGTAGTTCTGGGCTGATACTTCACCTTTTTTTTTTTATCATCAGTGATATCCCACCAGGTGAGAACTTGCATTGAGCCTCCGTCCGAGGAAGACTGACAGTCGTCTTTAGCCTCTTCCCTTTTCTGACTGTTAAGGAAATTTTATGTTTCATTACTTTAGTCCAATCAAGAGATCTATTAACTCAGGGGTGGGCAATCCCAGTCCTCGAGGGCCGCTGTCCAGCAGGTTTTACTTGTTTCTCTGCTTAAACACACCTGGTTTGAATCTACTAGTGATTAACAGGCTGCTGCAGAGCCTGATGGGCTGCTGAACAGGTGATTCATCCAGGAATCAGGTGTGTTGGGGCAGGTAAACAACAAAAACCTGCTGGATAGCGGCCCTCGAGGACCAGGATTGCCCACCCCTGTATTAACTGAATGTCCTGAAAGCATTCAGACACACACATTCTTGTCCTCCCACACACACACACACACACACACACACGCACACGCACACGCACACGCACACGCACACACACACACACACACACACACACACACACACACACACACACACACACACACACACACACACTCACACATGATCCACTCCCATTCCTCTCTTATCTCTTTGCTTAAATAGACTCTGTGACCAGCTGTTCATGATTTGATTGTATGTTTGCCTCATTGTTTCTCGTCCCTCTCTCTAGCTGCAGGAAATGGGTTTATTGATAAAATCCATGACTCTGACAATTGCTCCAACAGTTGATCTATTTCCACCAAGTTGCTTGGCGATTACCCCATAGATTTTTTTAAACCTTGTGAAGGTCCACAGTTTTGTCTCTAGTTTCTTTTGACAGCTCTTTAGTCTTTGGGAGAACTTGCAGAATTGCATGGTATTCAACTAATGTTCCTCTTTGTATCTTAATGCTGAAATTTATAACCCAGCATTTGAGTACTTAGAATTATTTTCTGATACTTATCAGCTATGCAGATGACAATCCACCCTTCATCAAACTGTATATACAGCGTTTATGTGACTACTCACTCATGAAATCAGATTTCAGTGTGTGGTGCTCAGAGTTGTTGTGAGGGGGTATGGTCATGTTGGTGACAACTGTAATACAGGTGTCAGGACTATCACAGAAAACACAAACCAGTAAGAAAATATCAATAGCATAAATAAACCATCATAATCATTAAAAACAGTTAAAACAAAATTTTATGCATCAATACTTTTGAAAGTTTATCAGCCATCAACTTGAGAGAAACCGTACTTAAACTCGTCGCCGTCTTCCTCCGCTTATCCGGGATGCAGGGGTAGCATCCCAACTAGGTAGCTCCAGACCGTCCTCTCCCCGGCCTTCTCCACCAGCTCCTCCGGCAGGACCCCAAGGCGTTCCCGGACTAAATTGGAGATGTAACCTCTCCAACGTGTCCTGGGTCGAACTGGGGGCCTCCTGCCGGCAGGACATGCCCGAAACACCTCCCGGGGAGGCGTCCAGGAGGCATCCTGACCAGATGCCCAAACCACCTCAACTGGCTCCTTTCGATCCGGAGGAGCAGCGGTTCTACTCCGAGTCCCTCCCGAATGTCCGAGCTCCTCACCCTATCTCTAATGCTGAGCCCGGCCACCCTACGGAGGAAACTCATTTCGGCCGCTTGTATCCGCGATCTCGTTCTTTCGGTCATTACCCAAAGCTCATGACCATAGGTGAGGATTGGGACGTAGATCGACCGGCAAATCGAGAGCCTGACTGTCTGGCTCAGCTCCCTCTTCACCACGACAGATCGGCTCAGCGTCCGCATCACTGCAGATGCTGAACCAATCCGCTTGTGGACAGGCGGATCGACAGTACTTAAACTCTTCAATTTAAATTCTCGAGTGTGAAAACTCACCGGAACACGTTCCTCTCAATAAACTCAATAGTTTTATTGTCAGGGAGAAGTTTGAACTCAATATGGGACCTGGTACAGTTTTCCAAGGCATCATGAAATTTATCAGTGTCAGTGACAGCCCAGACTCCCACCCAGTCCCAAAAAATCTAGGGAAGTAGAAGACGGATGACAAGTCAGAACTGAAGTGTAGGTTAGATTGAATTAAACTTGGTGTTCCACAGGATTCTGTGCTTGTGTCTCTACTTTTTACTTTAAATATATCTCTTTGAGATAATACTCCAGTGCACAAGCCACATGAAACTGATACCGAATGCATGCATTTCTTCTTATTTTCTGTCTAAAATCAGAGAAATAAAGTTTTTGACATTAATGTTCTCTAGCTTTTGAGCCAATTACCATAGTTTCTTTTGTGCCTGAGGGTGATTCATAAAAATGACCATGTCTCATAATTCTATTATATGAAAACCAAGTCAAGATTTAATTTTACAACTTTATTACACAACCATACAACACCAATAAATTAATTAGATCATACAATGAAGGACTTTAAAAAAATTAATATGGGGTTTAAAATAATTAATAATCCCAGTATTCTGTTGATCACCAGATCAAATAAACGCATTTGTAACATCGTTGCAATGGTAGATCTGAGGTTACATCTTCACTGGGGCCTAACTCACCTTGTGCAGGTTTTTTTGTCGGCAGCCTCTTCGTCAGCCCCTTACACTCTTTGGCGGTTGGTGCTGCGCTGCTGTTGAACACTGAGCAGTAGCAGCAGCACGGATACACTTCCTACATTCATCATATCCTGAGATGAACAACCACTGATTTTTCCAAGCTCAACAGTGAATGGAGGGCATCAGGATAATTTTTAATGGCTCTGAGCCTTTACTGGCACGGATTCAGTTAGAGCACAGATCATGTATGCTCAGAGAGTTACCTAACTCTCTCTCTTGCTTTTAAAACAGCTGAGGAAAATTAGTTAAATACAGATGTAGCTTTTAGCATTGCTGCAAACAGCTAGTATGGGAACAACTGAAGTGCTACCAAATAATGCTACCAAGATACCTCCCTAAATATAATCCAGTACAAAACGACATGGCTCTGGCAAACACACGCAGGTTACTACAGACCACTTTAATATAAATGTTTTGTTATTCTTCATTGTCACCCACAATGTTTGCCTAAATAAACCAGTAAGATAAATGTTTATTCATTCAGAAAGATGTGATGATTCAGGAGATGAAAGGAAAATTCACTGGGTTGTTTCAGCAAATTAATATTGAGTATCTTGGAAACTTAACAGGTGGATTTACGATTAAAAAAATTCAACAGTAAGACTTTCCGTGTTGAACTTGGCACAACGGTCTGTTTTTGAATGTGATGGGAGGAGAGCCTGTTTGAACCAATCAGAATTTAGGGATTGATGATCTGAAAGTCAGCGACTTCTGATGGACGACATTAAACTGTAGCTTGTTTTTATCAATTTCTGTAATACTACTACTACTACTACTACTACTACTACTACTACAACTACTACTGCTATTACTAAAACTACTTTCTACCATTACAACTACAAAAACTACTACTACTACTACTACTATTACTACTACTATTACTAATACTACTTCCTACCATTACAATTACAAAAACAACAACAACAACAACAACAACTACTACTACTACTACCACCACTACTACCACTGCTAGTACTATTACTCTTACTAATACTACTTCCTACCATCACAACTATAAAAACAAAAATAACAACAACAACAACTACTACTGCCACTATTACTAATACTACTTCCTACCATTACAACAACAACAACAACAACAACAACAACAACAACTACTACTACTCCTACTACCACTGCTAAAACTATTACTCTTATTAATAATACTTCTTACCATTACACTACAAAAACAACAACAACAACAACAACAACAACAACAACAACTTCTACTACCACCACTACTACCACTGCTAGTACTATTACTCTTAATAATACTACTTCCTACCATTACAACTATAAATACAAAAACAACAACAACTACTACTACTATTACTAATACTACTTCCTACCATTACAACAACAACAACAAAAACAACAAAAAACAACAACAACTACTACTACTACTACCACTGCGAGTACTATCACTCTTACTAATAATACTTCTTACCATTACAACTACAAAAACAAAAACAACAACAACAACAACAGCAACTACTACTACTACTACCACTGCTAGTACTATTACTCTTAGTAATACTACTTCCTACCATTACAACTATAAAAACAAAAATAACAACAACAACAACTACTACTGCTACTATTACTAATACTACTTCATACATTACAACAACAACAACAACAAAAACAACAACAACAACAACTACTACTACTACTACTCCTACAACCACTGATAGTACTATTACTCTTATTAATAATACTTCTTACCATTACACTACAAAAACAAAAACAACAACAACAACAACAACAACTACAACAACTACTACTACTACTACTACCACCACTATTACCACTGCTAGTACTATTACTCTTACTAATACTACTTCCTACCATTACAACTATAAAAACAAAAACAACAACAACAACTACTACTACTACTACTACCACCACTATTACCACTGCTAGTACTATTACTCTTACTAATACTACTTCCTACCATTACAACTATAAAAACAAAAACAACAACAACTACTACTACTATTACTAATACTACTTCATACCATTACAACAACAACAACAAAAACAACAAACAACAACAACAACAACTACTACTACTACTACTACCACTGCTAGTACTATCACTCTTACTAATAATACTTCTTACCATTACAACTACAAAAACAACAACAACAACAACTACTACTACTACTACCACTGCTAGTACTATTACTCTTACCAATACTACTTCCTACCATTACATCTATAAAAACTACTACTACTACTACCACTACTACCACTGCTAGTACTATTACTCTTACCAATACTACTTCCTACCATTACAACTATAAAAACTACTACTACTACCACTACTACTACCACTGCTACTACTGTTACTCTTACTAATACTACTTCCTACCATTACAACTATATATACTACTGCTACTACTACTACTACTACTACTATTACTACTACTACTACTACCACTACTACTGCTATCACTGCTGCTACTATTACTCTTACTAACACTACTTCCTACCATTACAACTATAAAAACTACTGCTACTACTACTACTACTACTACTACTATTACTACTACTACTACTACTACTACTACCACCACTACTTCTACTGTAGTAATGAGTACTACAGTAGAAATGAATTTGAAATGGATCATTGTAAGAACAATATTCATTTCAAATTCATTGATTTAAGGACAGGTTATTCAAACATTTGATTTAAACATCTTGTTTATTCATCACATATACCCGTAAGTTGTAAAAGTTCACTTTTTACTCAGAATGAGGAATCCATCAGTCTGAGATAAGGGAGGAAAGGGTTTTGCAGGAGACCTTGACAGTTTATTTATGTCTGCGTTGAAGAACCATAAGTGAGCAAAAGGTTGATTCGTGCGTCCGAATCCTCCCGACGGTGTAACCTTGACTTGCAGCTCTGGCGTGCATGAAAGGTTACTGTGTCAATTCAATGGTGAAAATTGACCCTTTTTATTCATTACAACTACAAAAACTACTACTACTACTACTACTACTACCATTACTACTACTACTACTAATAATAATAATAAAACCCGCAACAAAAAGGTTGTCTTTTAATAATAATAAATATAAATAATAAATTGTTTCCATCAAAAAATAAAATCAACGACAATGATTTATTTGCTATTGAAAAATACATTAAACAGAACATTTTGGTCCATTAACTTTTAATGATGTTTTTTTCACATATCGGCTGATCTTTCCACTTTTGATCTACTCAAGATTGACTGGCCTCTGGAGCGGATTCCTTGTGACAAAAATCTGAAAAATAAAAAATATATAATAGTTTATTAGATGTGTGTGGTGTCCTAGTCAGACCAACATCCTCGCAGAATTCACAAACCTGCCAGTCCGTCGTAAGTATACACTCTGTCGTGAGGGAACTTCAGACACTCGGCCAGTTTCTTAAGATCATCGTGGTGGGTCTTATGATGCTCGACATCACGGTGTGCTCCTTCCCTCTCTTAAACACAAGATCAATGGTGTTAGCAAAAGCTCATATTGAAATGAGTGAGGTGCCAGCAAAAAGTGTTTGTGTTATTGTAGATGAGGAGGAATCGCATCGTCAAGGTTTTGTAGGTCATTGCCAGAAGTCATGACAACCCACGTAAAAGTCCACATCTCCTGTATCGTTGTACGGCTCAACCTGTCCATCCTTCTCCACTCCTAATTCACAAAACATGAAGAATGCATGCAGACTGTAATCAGAATAATACTGCCAGGAAATACTTGACAGTTCAGTGTTAATAAAGGAAAAATGATTTCAAGAGTTGTAATTACACCAAACTATGTCGAGCTTTCTTAAAATAAAGCAACTTATTATAAGATGGAAGAAACTTTTGGTCTTTATGATTTTTGTTCATGTGCATGGTTTGACTTTTTGCACTAACATTTAATCTGCTGACTTGTATTTATATGCTGCACCATGGATTATTTCATTGTATTTTAATATTGTGGTGTATAGTTTTGTGTGACTGAACTCACTGATGGAATCGTATTTCAGTGTGTGATGCTCAGCGTCATCAGTGGGTATCGTCATGTTTAAATAGTAGGTAGTACAAGAGTCAAGACTTCCTCTGAAAGCAGGACAGATTAGTCAAACAAAGATCTAACACAACCTCACACAGTTCTTGGAAGCTGATTACTCACTTGTACACGTTCCTCTCGATGCAATTGAAGGTTTTGTTGCCAGGGAGGAGTTTGAACTCTACATGAGAACTGGAGCAGTTGGCCAGCAAGCTGTGGCCATCCTCATGATCAGCCTCGGACCAGACCAGAACCCATTCGCCAAAGATCTGCAGGAGGGAAAAAAGGGCAAACCAGAGCTTTAAAGTTCAAATCAGGACGTTTTGTTTAACTGAGAAAACTGAAGCTTTGGAAGGAAACGGGTGAACCACCATTACTGCCTAACTTACCCTGTGCAGGTGCTTTGTTGGCATTCTTTTGGTCACGGTGGAGCAGTGTTCATGGGTTGGTGCTGCGTTAGTGCTGATTGCTGCCAGCAGCAGCAGCAACAACCCAGGTCCCTTCAACAAGCACATCGTACTCTGGATGAAAAACACACTGAGCGTTTGTCAGGAACCAACAGAAGTGGGAACTGTTTGGTTTATAATGGTCCAGGAGCCCCTGATTACCACAGGGTCAGTCCAAAGATAATGTGTGCTCAGTGCGCTACATAACTTAGGTTCACCCTTTGATTTATTTATTGTTTTTGGTCGTTTAGGAAGTGGAAAGGTTTTGTGGAGCCAAAACAGTCAGGGAGATGTCTGACATCAGGTTAAAGGTGCAAAAATGAAACCTTTTATTAAAGAATCTTTCAGTGTGACCTGTGCCCCTTTCCTGGAGTCGCAGTGTCCTGACGGTTCTTAATTAGAAACTACAGGGAGTGAGGGGTTAAGTAATCATAACAGAATGATGTATTCATTCAAGCTGATTAGCAATGATCAGGTGTTCTTTCCATTTATGTAAACAGATACACGTCCTGGTAACTGGTTGTTAGGGTGCTGTCAGACATTTGACAAAATATTTGATGAACTGTCGAGTCAAATTGATAAATAAATAATGATAAATATGGTTGGGTACATCAGCTTAATAGCGCGCACACAGATGCATGCATGCATGCACACACGCACGCACGCACGCACACACACACACACATTTATTTTTTATGTATTGGGGCTCAAACAATGAATCAACTGTGATGGTGCAGAGATCAAGAACGATCATACCTACAAACTCTGAAGGGGTGAAAAAGGTGACAAATAAAATCAACCCCTGTAAATGTTCCTTGCATGCTGCAGATTTACATCAGTAAGTTTTATAGTGACCTGGGGTCTCCTTTATAAAGCTTGCTTACCCACAAAATGGGGTTGCAAAACTGCATAAGTAACTTGCCATGCAAACTTTGGGATTTATAAAGGAAAAAGTAGTGGGAAAATGTGGGCAACTTTGAGTTGACCTAAGGAGCTGGCTTACGCACATTTTGGACATGGAGAGTTTTTGGATTTTGGACAATGTTAAAAGTATCGGAGCTTTTTTGAGTACATTTGAGGGGGCTCTTTACACTAAGAATGACATATCAGAATGCAGACACTACCGCCTTAAAGGGAGGGTTATGACAATGAAGTGACCTGATTTCTGACCATTTACATAACTCCTGTGACCCACACCGTGACCTCAAAATTAGTGGAAAAGGACATGTTAAAGTATGGGATCTTTTTGAAGAACATTTGGGGGGGGCATTTTTGCGTATGAATGACATATCAGAATAAAGACATGACAGCCTCGAAAGGAGGGTTATGATGATGAAGTGACCTGATTTAAGACCCTTTACATCCCTCCTGTGACCCACACCGTGGCCTCAAATTTAGTGGAAAAGGCAATGTTAAAGTATAGGAGCTTTTTGAAGTACGGGGATGGCGGAATTTTTTGCGCTTGAATGACGTATCAGAATGCAGAAATGACCGCCTCGAAGGGATGGTTATGATGATGAAGTGACCTGATTTAAGACCATTTACATCTGTCCTGTGACCCACACCGTGACCTCAAAATTAGTGGAAAAGACAATGTTAAAAGTATAGGAGCGTTTTTGAGTACATTTGAGGGGGCTCTTTAAACTAAGAATGACGTATCAGAATGCAGACATTTCCACCTTAAAGGGACGTTTATGACAATGAAGTGACCTGATTTCTGACCATTTACATCACTCCTGTGACCCACACCGTGACCTCAAAATTAGTGGAAAAGGCAATGTTAAAGTATAGGAGCTTTTCTAAGTACGGGGGTGGGGGTCTTTTTTGCGCATGAATGACGTATCAGAATGTAGACATGACCGCCTCGAAGGGAGTGTTATGATGATGAAGTGACCTGATTTAAGACCCTTTACATCCCTCCTGTGACCCACACCGTGACCTCAAAATTAGTGGAAAAGGCAATGTTAAAGTATGGGATCTTTTTGAAGAACATTTGTGGGGACTTTTTTGCGTATGAATGACATATCAGAATGTAGACATGACTAGGGTTGTCACGGTAACCGGTGTAGCGGTAAACCCCGGTAAAAAAGTTGACAATAATAATAACAGTCTTGTTTAAAAAAAATTATCTCGGTGGATTACCGTGGCTGCGGTGTAGGCGCATTGACCCTTACCAGCCACCGTATCATCTGCTGAAGTTGCCGGTGGCACATGTGCACTTTGTTGTTTACGACCAAAAGTTTCTTGAACCTAAAGCTGAAATAATGGCCAAAGGAGGAGATGGCAGCGCTAAGGACATTCATTATCCCTCAAAGAAGACGAAGTCGGAAGTATGGGCATGCTTTGGATATTTGAAGAATACCGACGGACAGTTGATAGAAGACGGCTATCCTGTTTGCAGCATGTGCAGGAAAAAGTGTCTGTGAAAGGCAGCAATGCTTCAAATCTCATGACACATCTGCGTGACCATCACCCACAATCCTACAGTCAACGCAAGGCAAGTTAACATTAGCGTTTTAGCTAAAATGCGTGATCCGAGGATTTGGGTTGAGGGAGAATGCAACGAGTCGCTATATAAAGCAGCCGCAGCACCGCTACCTGCATGTAAACCGTGTCGCGGACACCCCCATATTGAAATGACGCTATGCATTACGGGGCTCCCAGGGACAGTTAAGAGTTGGTCTCTCTCCGAGAATAATTATGAATTTAACAATGATGACTGCCTGATGACATTTTCGCAAATCTGCAAAGCTCACCGGAAGGACACAAACCGAGGACAATATTTTCCTGATATAGGGTTTATTACTCAAGTAAGGGTAAAAAAAAGTATCTGATTAGACGGCTACTTGAGTACCGAGTATCATCTGATCTAATATTTTTAAAATGATGACATCAAACAGACAAAAAATAAGAAGTTATAGGCAAATATTATATTTTAAAGACTAAAGGGGAAAACTGTAAACAAATAAACAACATAATTACAAAATAACAAATTTTTGGCAAAATTTAGACACAAACTGAGTACAATATTTTCCTGATACACAGGGTTTATTTAGTTGTCTGAAAATGTAACACGTTTAAAAAAATACCGCAATAATACCGAAAACCGTGATAATTTTGGTCACAATAACCGTGAGGTTAAATTTTCACACCGTGACAAACCTAGACATGACCACCTCGAAGGGAGGGTTATGATGATGAAGTGACCTGATTTAAGACCCTTTACATCCCTCCTGTGACTCACACCGTGACTTCAAAATTATTGGAAAAGGCAATGTTAACTCATTCACTGCCAGCCCTTTCCTGATCACTAACGGCCTTCGCTGCCAGCGTTTCTCACTGTTTTTACTGTTTTTTTAAGTCACAGAACATTGCGCGCTAGCATGATGTCGATGCCAAAACAACCAAAACAAAGAGGAGACTCACTTCTTACATCAGGAAGAAGCTGCGTGTTTCGAGCGTTATCCGTTCTTTCATAATCCGTTGTCGAATTGTGATCGGCAGACGCTTTTCCGGTTCGCGCCTCACTTTCTTTACAGGAACGGCCCAAAACGATCTCGAAACACATGAATGTGTTGCTTCCTGATCATGTGATCTGTGACGTATGCGGATGAAGATCGGCTTCAGGGCTGAGATATTTGTTCTCTCAGCGCGGGGGCTTGCTCCGATGCTCAAACAGTAAAAAAAATGCAAATGACGACTTTAGTCGTCATTGGCAGTGAACGGTTGGATCTAAAATGATGACTTTAGTCGTCAATGGCAGTGAATGAGTTAAAGTATAGGAGCTTTTTGAAGTACGGGGATGGGGGGCTTTTTTGCACATGAATGATGTATCAGAATGCAGAAATGACTGCCTCAAAAGGAGGGTTATGATGATGAAGTGACCTGAATTAAGACCCTTTACATCCCTCCTGTGACCCACACCGTGACCTCAAAATTATTGGAAAAGGCCATGTTAAAGTATGGGATCTTTTTGAAAAACATTTCAGGGGATTTTTTTTTGCGTATGAATGACGTATCAGAATAAAGACATGACCGCCTCGAAGGGAAGGTTATGATGAGGAAGTGACTTGACTTAAGACCCTTTACATCCCTCCTGTGACCCACAACGTGACCTCAAAATTTGTGGAAAAGGCAACGTTAAAGTGTAGGGCTTTTTGAAGTACGGGGGTGGGGGGCTTTTTTGCGCATGAATGACATATCAGACTAAAGACATGACTGCCTCGAAGGGAGGGTTATGATGATGAAGTGACCTGATTTAAGACCCTTTACATCCCTCCTGTGACCCACACCGTGACCTCAAAATTTGTAGAAAAGGCAATGTTAAAGTATAGGAGCTTTTTGAAGGGGGGGGGGGGGGGGGGGGGGGGTTAGACCCGGGGTGATGTACCGGAATGCAAACACTATCGTCTTAAAGGGAGGGTTAGAACACTATTACTAAAACAATAATTTCATCCAACCATTCATCCATTTTCAGCCGCTTATCCTGAGTTGAGGCAGCAGCCTAAGCAATGAGGCCCAGGTGTCCTGAGGGAGAGTTTGGAGAAAATCACTATTTCCCATCGAAAGTGGGGATTTTTGGTTAGGGCTAGGGTTTACAACATATGTGAATTTCGTGTCCCTATGTAGAATATAACTATTTTTAATAATTTAAAAGCAACTGACAAAACCCTAGGCCCCAAACGAAGCCTGACATATATTTGAGCCCCTTTTTGGGAGCCGTTCGGCCCACGCTGGTTTGATGCACACAAAAATTGTTTTGGTGCATCCTGATGCTGGCGCGGCCCACAGATTTTGAATTTGTGCCGGTCGCATTGTTTTAAGGGTTTGTTTGGGCCCCGAGGGCAGTTTTCCCACCATTTTTGCCATGTGCTCGCGAATGTGGCATTTTCCAACCGATTTTCACCAAACAAACACAGATTCGGCATGCCACCATCACCCTGAGCTAGCCCAAGCGGATTGGTAGCCATAGCATTGTTCTGGTGGTGTTCTGGGTCAGATGTCACAACGTTTTGGTACATGCAGAAAAAAGGCAGGTTTTGGGCTGAAAACCAAGGTTCTCTTCAACCTAGAGAGTT